CCCTCCCCCACAAGAAGGGCTTGCAGTTTACTCCATGCAAACAAGTGAGCAGAGTTCAAACATCTTCCCACTTTATCCCATGGGAGAGACCCCCTAAAAACCGGACCTCCTACCCAAGCTGGCGTGCCATGGCACCCTCCTGCCAGGCATAAAACTGTAAAACTGTATAAAACTGTATATATTCCCCACCTGCAACATTGAACTCCGAGGATTCCCCCCTCAACCTGAGGTCTGGTGGTTTGTTACCTATGGAGTCCAGATTCTTGGGCATCTCCTTGAGAGTAGTGGAGGGGGAAAGGGCTGGTGCTGCACTGTGCTGACTGTGGCATAGGAGTGAGGAGAAGAAAGTTGGCTTGGAGGAAGTCATACAGCAACAGTGGCATCCTGAGCTGTGAACTGATACCATCCCAGATAAGTGAGCCCCATCTCTCTGGGCAACCAGAGGTTCTGGACAGCAGCCACTGGCCAAATGAATGGACTTGGTAACTTTCATAAAGAGACCATTAGTACCAGCCCTCAGGGAAATAGCTGAGACAAAGGCAGTGGGTGGGCAGAGGCTGGAATTGACACCTGAGTGTAAACTCTAATTTGCTTGCTGCCCAAGCTGAGTTCCTCACAAGCTCTAGCAGCCTCTGACTTTCAGAAGAATTTAGACAGACAGAAGGTGTTAGGCTGCAATGGCAAGAACCTCCAAAGCCTAAATTCTTCCCCTGCTGGACTGGACTCAGATTTCCCAAAGAGGACCTCGCCCTCAGGGGAATGCTAACACAAAGGCAGTGGGCAGGCAGAGATTGACACCTGAGTGTAAATTCTAATTGTTTGCTGCCCAGGGTTGAGTTCCTCATCAGCTCGAGCAGCCTCTGACTCGCAGAGGAATCTAGCTGGGATGGAAGGAGAGGGGCGAGAATTAAGAGAATATTCAGAGCCTAATTTAAACACACAAGACTGCCCTGCTGGACTCAGATTTCTGGGTGATTTTGGCAGTCATAAACCCCAGGAGCAGTTGCAAACCCCGGGAGCAGTTGCCTACTGGAGTAAATAGGGTCACAGACCTGGATTACGAGTGACTGGGTACAAGGTGGGGAAGGAGGTATTAACCTTCCCAGACTAAATCATTTACTGGGTGGGGCCCTTTGCCCTCATGGAGCACTAGAGCAATTTATATCTGAGCTGTGAATAGACCCCTCTTATCTAGCTGCCGGAAATATTTGAACTTTTCCACATGAAACTGGTGCTGACTAGGACAACTGGTTTGGACCCCTTACACTGGGCAGACCACCCAGGGACTATTTAAAGGGGCACCCTGTGAGTATGGTTGAGGGAAGGTTTCATTTCTCTTGCCCAATTGTTTGTAGGGAGCAAAGCAACTTAATTGCTGGTATTTCTCCTCAGCAGAGACTTGAACCAAGAGAAACTGAATCACTAGGGTAGGACAGAGACCAGTTGAAAATAAGACAGAGCCACTTAGCCCTATCACACCAAGCAGGTCCCCAGTCTCTCAGGCCGTAACATTGTACGGGTCCTTGACAAACCTCAAGGGGAAAAGCCAAATGGGGTAAAATTATCATGGGGCAAAATCAGCGAAAAAGCTCTGGTAATATGAATAACCAGAGTAGATCAACCCCCCCCCCAAAGAAAAGATGTGGTTGGTAATATGAATAACCAGAGTAGGTCAACCCCCCCAAGAAAGTATGTGGCAGATGAAACTGAAGATCCCCTATATAAACAATTAGCTGAGATGTCAGAAATTGAATTCAGAATTTGGATTGCAAATAAGATTAATAGAATAGAGGAAAAGATAGAAATAGAAATTCAAGGGGATTCTGGGAAGATGGCCGACTGGTAGCAACCCTGGTCAGAGG